CTGCCGACCCCAAACCTAACTCCTCCTATTGGGACGAAATAATTGGCCTCTAACATTAACCAGTATAAAAGCAATGCGTATACTTAACGAAACAGCACTGTAAGGGGAAGGTAAAGGGACTATTTGTATCTAGGGAATTGAAAAGAGGAACCTGATTGATGTGGTTCCTTTCAGCTCTTCTGGGGGCGAATTGACCTGCGGTCCTTTGGGGGAAGCTGGAAGACTAGCATGACTCTCGAGTTGAAAGGGAGGGGGAAGTGAATCTGTGAATTCGTATAATAAGACTGGGAAATAATTTAACCCAGTTCCCGTTTCTGAACTCTGGGTCTTTGCAGTTTCAAAGTTTCAGAAACACTTTTTCCATTGTTACAGCCGTCACTACAGCAGCAAATGATCGTATTCTCCGCGTTTGGCCAGCTGTTTATTAGGAAATTACTGAACCTTTGTTGAACATGAAACTTTATTCACCCCCCGAGAGAATTTACGTCTCCAGCAGGAACCAGTGCCCCGGCTCAGACAGCGGAAGTCAGGGACAGCGTTTGGAGGAGACTTTATATTTCCTGTGGAATATTTTGATCAGAGATGGAGCTTTTCCTGGCATATTTTGAGCGAGCTTTTTTTATAAAATTCTCTGCTCCTGTTATGTTTTAAATTACTATATGATATATATTTCTCTTGATTATGTGCTTTATTAATTTTTTTTTATAAAACAAAAACGTTACAGCAAGACAGGGGACCGGGGACCAACAAACAAAACACAACAAGCGCTGGGAATAACATCACACAAACCAACAAACCCAGGTTAATGTGACACGCGACATTATGCCCAGGTGAAGGTGAAATACACATGGGAGCCTGAATACAGCAAGCGCAAAAATAGCAAATAAATAATTACATTCTCTTTTGTATACAAATGCGCCCCTTGGGTCAGGTATAGCAGAAATATTTAATTAATATAGTCAAGGGAATGGCTTTCCATGTTCGTTTCGGGCAAGGCATTCAGTTTTTCTGGGGAGTGCAGAAGACAGGTGAGAAAGTCCAGAGGTATGTATTCCATTATTGTCCTATGCCATCCCACCAATGAGGGGGCCTTATCTGAGATCCAGTGCTGAAGAATATTTTTCCTGGCGCAAAATGTCATAACATTATACAGTTTCTTAAATTATATTTTAACAAGCACACATTTTTCTTCTTCATGCTATCAGCTCTTTGATGGTTTTCTACTGCAGGACGAAGCTGTTGATCAGAGACTGAAGCTCTGTGAATATAAACAAATAATAATCTAAACTAAAGTCTGTAAAGGAGATCCAGAGATTTCTCTCTAAACACATTTTACCTCCTTCCTTCCTTCCCTCCCTGCAGGCGACTCACCGCCAGGTCTGTCTAAAGAGATCGCCAGCGCTCTGTCTCACGTCCCCGGTTTCGAGATGGATCCCTTCTCACTGGACGACCAGCTCAGGATGGACCCTCTGGCTCTGGACATGCTGGACGGCGACCTGATGCTCGCCGACCCGGCCGTGGAGGACTCCTTCAGATCCGACCGGCTAAAGTGACCCCGCACGACCCTCTGCTCCAGGAGCTCGGTGGGAATTGGCGAAGAGACGGCCACCCGGACGGAGGCGGAGAGAACCGGGATCAGCGCCGCTCCGCCGCCCACTCACCACTCTCCCAACCAGACGGTCTGCAGAGCGAGGTTTGGAAGGAACTCGGGGACCTCCAAGAGTTTTGATGTGAAGAGAAGGACCTGAGACTTCTGTCGGAGGTCGGAACGAACTGAAGGAGGCGGGGAGTTTTTCCGTCGAAGGCACTTAACTGAAAACGCTCTCGCAATGCTTGAAGTCAAGAAAAAACCAAGATGCTTCTCTTTTTAGGCATTAGCTTGTACGAGTCTTATCTGCATGTTAATGAAAAATGCACTCGCGTAAATGCAAACACGCAGGAATAAACCGCTCACGTGACGCCGGCTTTATGTAAGAAACCGTGTGTAAAAAAACAAACAAACCAGCAAACGCTTGGAAGATCTTGAGCAGCATTATGCATCCCGGTATGTGTGGACCCTCGCTGAGCTCTCTGACTGTTCTCTGCTCCACCCAGCTGCCACGGCGGCCATCACTCCACAACAAACACACGGTGTGATCGGTTTGGATTGTTTTACCCCAAACTGTCGTTAAGTTCGCTCGCAAAAAGAAAACAAAAAGCCACCAGTCGGAGGCCAATACTGGTTCCCTCTGCTTTATCAGCCACTTTGACAGGAACTTAGCCATGACTCAGAGGTCTATATATTTTTTAAAAGAAGTAGGTTTTCCTGCTCTGACAGTCACAGAAGTCAGTGTAACAGCCTGAAAGAGGTTCTCCTCTGGTCTGTACTCATTTGAGTGAATCAAAAGAAATAGTAAGTTAATGAGAAGCAGGTTAAATGTTTGGGATCTCTCAGGAGTGAGTACGGCGCTAGAAAAAAAGCCAATATGCTGTTTCTTTTTCAAGTCTGTCTGACCTTCCCCAATTTTTCACACAAATGAAAACAGCTTTAAGTCCTTAAAATTATCCTGTGATCACATAGGACGTAACAAAAAACATTTCTTTTCTCCTGAGCTGAAGTCGTTCCAATGCCTTTATTTCCTTCCCAATACCGATTCCAGTATATGCGTTATAAAAGGATTGCCTGGCCCAGTCAGAGTAGGGCAGGGCATGACTTCGCTATCCTGGGGTAAAGAATGAACGAACGGGACACTGCCTGCCACAGTTTCCAGTGTTTCCAGCTCCAGTGTGTAACATTGAGGATCTATGGACAGAATTGGAATATAATATTCATAGGAATGGTTTTATTAGTGTACAATCAGCTGTAAGAGGAGCCGGTCCTCTTCTACAGAGTCCACCAGAGTGAAAAACAAACTTTTTGGTGGTGTTGTGGAGTTTCTCCTACACATTTCAGGTCATTCATTCTGCAGTTTCACCACTAGATGCCACTAAATCCTACACACTGGTCCTTTAAAGTTCTTCAGATGGAAGCAACCTCAGTATCTTCATGTCTGATCCTTCCATATTTTATCCTTCACCAACAATCCTTTAGACTCAGTTGTTAAATTCTGGGCAGCATTATTGTCCACCTGTCTTACTTTATAATAGAGAAACAAAAGGAAAACGCATTGTTTCATTTAAAGCTGCTGATCTACAGTTCACAGCCAGAGTCACCAAAGCAAGAGCTCGCTGTTCTTTACATCGCATTTACACGTTTATTCAGATATTCAGCAGCGTTCAGCTCATGAGAAATTATAAAATAAGCGTCCTGTGTGATCACAAATCATCAGTTCATCTTTCAATCCCTCCAGGAAGTTAAATTCATTTACATTTAACCAATCCCTGTGAATTCTGTGCAAACTTTCAATGACCAAACGTTGTCCGCGCAAAACGGGGAGCCATATTGTCTCCAGACTCACTTGCTTGTTTCTAGATGTGAAGAGTCTTTTTCTGTTCGCACTGGAACAAGTTGCCTTTAATGTTCACTTTGTCTCGCATACATCTCCATTTTTTTAAGAAAAGCTGCCGTGTAATCATTTTAGGCGGCAACAATCCCCCCAAGAAACCCAGTGAAGTCCTGGAGGGACTGATCTTTACGTTTCTACATCACTGCCAGCTAGACGAGTTTAAGTCTGAAACATGCTGCTGCGTCTGAGAACGTGCGACTGTCTGCAGGCGCATGGACACGTCACAGCGTGTGCAATAAGGGGAATTAACAACTTGTCTTTTTCTGCTTGCATTTGAGCAGCTCTCTGACGTTCCTGGATGGCAGTTTCCATCTCTGTGGTCAGCCCAGCTTCCCCAAACACATGTACCTTGTGCAGCATCGTGTTTCAGCCTCGTGTGCCTGCTGCTGTCTGTTAGCTCTCAGTCTCGTCCACATTCCCTCTAACAGACAGGAGTTCACGTCTTGCTGAAGAAGAATGCGCTGACAATGCCTCGGATGCACTTGCCCATTTTTAATAGAGAATTATGCATTTCAACGATGAAACTGAATGTGTCGTCTGCTGACGGACGGACGGAGGAGTGAATGAGTGGCAGATGGGAAGCAGGGTTTCTGGACGCCTCGGGGAAAGCAGGCTTCTTTCAGTGCTTTTAAATGCGTGTAGAAACCCCGACTTCACAAATCTGCATCTTTTACCCTTTGAAATGTTTGTACGCAGCTACAGTCGCCCCTCAGGCTCGAGCTTTATCGCCCTTTCAGGTCAACATTTTAAAGGGCAATCCCACCAATGTTAATGTTGCTGTGTTATCTAATCAGACATTTACCAAAAAAAAGACCCAACAGTTAATAACTTGTGTGTGTACAAGTTTACTGTCTTGATATGGATCCTTTATTATAGATTAATCTGCCCATTATTTTCTCCATTAGTTAATCGTTTGACTGAAAATAAGAAAGTCCAGTTCACAAAGTCACAAGTAGAACGTCACGTCTTCAAATGCCTTTTGTTGTCCGACCAAAAGACCCCAAAGAAAAACAGAATCCTCTCGTTAGAGAAGCTCAGATTGAAGAATATTTAGTATTTTTGCTTCAAGAAGGACCGAAGCGATCAGTTGATTATCAAAATTAGATTAGAATATTTGATTTTATGTCAGTTGACTGTTTGAGCTCTAGATCTAATCTTCCTTTCACAAGAGGAATAGTCGATAAATCTGTCGCAGAGAATCTATCTGAAGTCATTTTTACTTTAAAACTATTAAACAGTCTGCGAGCTCATGTTGTGTTTGCTCTGGTGCGACGTTTTCCACCAGTCGGTTTGGTTTAATTAATTAATAACTAACATCACAAGTGATTTGTATATAAATTCACTCCTGGTACAGTCATGACCCGTGAAATCAGCAGTCAGAGACCAAAACCATGTTTTGTTACTTCAGTGTTGGTTCCAGGTTCTCAGCTGTGAACGGTCTCTAATCGTAAAGTGTTGATTTGTGGGTCGGACATACGAACACGTTTGAAGACGTCTCCTCGGGCTTTATGTTTCACTGTGTTTAGACAATTCGTAGACCGAATGTTTCATCTTTTAATTGAGAAAATAATCAGATTAATAGATAATAATTGCGTGCACCTTTAACCACACCCAGCAGTGATGTCACAGTGTCCTGGAGTACACCTGTATGTCACTTCCTGCGCCAAAAAAATAACAATGTTCACTTTAAAATCCTCTTTAACAAAATAAATCACTTTAACTTTACACAACAACCCAAATGCAGTTTTTTTGGCGGGATTGCCCTTTAACCCCAGTCACTGTGATTGACAGCCCTTAGCCCCGCCCTCTCTGCCTGCACTTGCTGCACCTGTGTTTTCAGCCCTGCCCCCCCGGGGCCGGAGCATAGCGACGTGTTTTTATGTAACAAAGGTAAAAAAAAATCTTATTATTAATATTATTCTGACTATAAAGTTTTATTTTTTAATCCAAAGTGGTCTAAATCTGTATGTATATAATTTCTCAGATAATATCTTTAAAAAATGAAAAAAATACAGAATATTTAAGAGAAGAAAGAAAAAAAACAGCTTGTAGAAGTTTGGAGTCGCAGTCGGAGAGTTTTTGAACAACAGCTTGTGAAACAATTATCTGCATGTGTCTCCTCGTGTGAGCAGTTAGAGTCCGCGTTGTTGTGAAAGGAAATACTGTTGTCAGCCCCACGTCTCGTTGTTGTTGTTGTTGTTGTTGTTGTTGTTGTTGTTGTTGTTTGTGAGCTTCACACAGCTTCTGGATGGCCGTCAGTTGTTTATTTGAGTTACTGAGTCTTGTTTCGGACGGCATTCGAGGTCTGAGGAACGTTTTTCAGTTTAAAGTTTAGAGTTCACAATAATTCGCGTTGAGAAAGATTTATTAAAGATAGAAAACTGGAAAACTGAAGTCAATTTTCTAAAAATAATCAGAATAAACCACAGCCCGTCCTTTTCGGCAGTGTTTCCCAACCTGGGGGCGGGACCCCCGTTAAGGGCCGCGAGAAGGTGAACCCGAAAGAAAAGAGTAGAAATAACGTTTTTAACTGGTTATGAACTGAAATGTAATACTGATGCCTCTCGATGAGCGTCATAAACAAACATATTGATGTCTGCCACCGGGTCGGAAACCAGGTGGTAGAAACAGTACCGCTTTAGTCCACAGGGGGCGC